GTGGTCCATTCATTGGAAAAAATAAAAGAAATAAAAACATTCCTAGTCTTGTGGTCCAACATACGTTAGCTAGTTGTGGCCAAGTAAAATTCTACAAGAGAAAAATATCTTGTAATTTTAGTCCACATATACATCATATAATTCAAAATTAAAATCTTTTATTTGAAAAGAAAAAGATTGCTACTGCATCCAATTAGTCCTGTGGTCCATTCATTGGAAAAAATTAAAAAAAAATAAAACCAAACCTAGTCTTGTGGTCCAACATACCTTAGCTATTTGTGGCCAGAGTAAAATTCTACAAGAGAAAATATCTTGTAATTTTAGTCGGCTTTTTAAATGGTATTTTTTTTTAGGTAACTGAATCTTCAAATTTAATAGTTTATCTTTAAATTTAAATATTTAGATTTAATTTTAATTGATTAAGAGTTCAATTTTCACTAACGACTTCAAAAATCCCCCTATCCCTCATAATTCTCCTATTTTTTTTTTAAAAAAAGAACTTTTTAAGGTAAACTTTAATAGGTTTTCTTCAAGAGCATGTAGACTACTTTGGGGTATGGTTATAATCAAGGTTTTGAAAACCGGACCGGACCGGCCGGTCGAACCGGTTGAACCGGTACCCGGTAGTAGAAATGGTTCGGTTCTATCTTTTAAACCGTTTGAAGATCAAACCGTTTGAAAACCGGTAAGAACCGTTGGAACCGTTCAAATCGAAAAACCGTTCGACCGGACGGTTCAATGCTTGAGAACAAAAGCTTGAGAAATTTGTCCCCCACGAAGCTTGAACTTGCAACCTTGAAGTCCTCTTCAGTTAGTTTATTCCAACCCTTTGCCACCAGGACAGTGCACTCCGTTTGTCCATGGATGCTTGAAATTTATTTTAGTCTATTTTTAAAACCATAATTATTTAAAATTTGTTCATAAGGGGACTCGAACCTGTGATCTTTGGTATGAGAAAGCAACCACTTACCATCGCACTCAATGGATATCTTGTGAAATACTTTACAAAATAATATATTTATACTATATCAATGAACCGACGGTTTTATCGGTTAGACCGGTTAAACCGGTCAAACCGTGAACCGGAGGTCAAAACGGTTCGACCTCCGGTCCGGGTTTAAAAACATTGGTTATAATTACTATATAATTTTATGATTTTTAATGACCTTAACATTATAAATGATGGCCATAATCACACCCTTATTTTGGAGTGTTTAACTTAACGGGCTAAGGATTTGATAACTCAATTTGCAATTGCTGTAGTAGAGTCAAATATTTCTTTTTTTATCTCAACCCAAATATTTCTTTATTATATTTTTTATATGAAATTTTCTCACATGACAACCTCCACAAATTCTTGGCAATTCATAAATAGGCATGGAGTTGGTGGGTGCAAGCTTTCTCATTAGCCCTTATGCATACATAATAAAGTATATAGAAAAGCCGAATGGTTTTAAGTAACCAATGGAAATTCCTACAACTTATCTAGTTGGTGGTAATGATTATTTCTTAGCTAAATTATAAAAACAAATTTAAAATTAAAATTAAGAAACTCTTATGGGATGCTAGGAATCCCTAAGTAATATCTAATTTTCATTTTATGTTAGTAAATAATCAACGACATAACCCTTGAAAAATGGAAGGAATAGATATTCCTCTCTCATCCTATACTTTAGTAGAAAACTATCCACATTAATACTTACTTAACTTCCTAATAAAATTTCTTAAATTTAATATATTTTTATGATTTCGTTAAGAAATAATCATTACCACTAATCAAACAAAGTCCTATGGTTGCCAACGACCTAAATAATTTAGTAATCATTTTTTTTCGCTAAAAATAAAAGATTCTGAGTTTGAATCACATGATATGCATGTGAAGTGAGATAAAAGATAAGAGATGGTTGTCTCCCATGGTGCAACCAAGATTAAAAAAAAAAAAAAAAAAAGACCCTATGGTTTGGTTATCATGATAAACAACAAAATACTAGAAGAAATACTTTGAACTACGACCTAAGTGGCCCAATACAAAGAAAGCTTGCATGGTTTGAGTCATACGCATAAGGAACAAATAACAGAAATGGTAGCCTCTCTTAAAAGAAATGCTTTGAAACTGATCTTTATTAATTTTTTTTTTTTCCCTTTGGCATATTTGTTTTCATACAATTTACACCAGTAGGGTTGGCCAGTACTTTACAAATGCATTGCAAAGTGTCATACAAGACTTAGCTCATCAGGGATGCTTGAAACTTCTGTTTGTTTGTTCAATCCAAAGGCAGCAAGTTTCTTCCATAGTGCTACCAATTCTTCCCCAGCATCACATATATATGCCAACGCTTGTCTGCCAGACAGCATTGCTCCATCCATGCTATCTATGTAATCCTGTATACAACATATAGTCATTCTGTTCATATAGGCTCATTCCTTCCTCCCTTTTTCTTTCCCGGTATCTCTGAGTCTTTGACTCTAGAAAAATGGAATGTTAAAAGGATGGTTTACCTGCTTTGTTTATGATCCATCGAGGAAGGAAGTTCTCTAAGTTCTGAACAGGTCTAAATGGATCTTTACCAGGTGCCTCGCGGTATAGGGATTGCCCGATTTTGACAACAGAAGACCAAACAACTTCCAAACCTTGGGATGATGGAAATAAAGCCAGAACCTGGAAGAAAATAGAAACAATGGAAATTTGGAGTGAGATGACATTCAATAACTGATACTCTGGAGCATTTAAAGATGAGCTGAAGTGAAAAGCCATTTCCGCATCTGGTTCCTAGCTAATTTGATCTCTGTGACTTTCTACAATGTGCAACTTTCCCAAGATGAAGAGGCAAGCGAGTTTTTGCTGTCTATTGTAAATTGTAAAAAGCTTGAAAACAAGCATAGGTTTTTTAGAAGCTAGTGACCTGTTCTGCTACTCTCTCTATGATTTTATCATTTGATAATGGCATGTAAGAATCACCTGGTGTCAAAACACATCTGTAAAAGACTATGCTTTAGTAAATATGATGAAGAATACACAAGGAAAGCATAAATGGAAAAATTAGGAACATTAGAAGAGGAAAAGTCAATATGCATTTCAATGCAAGAACTATAAGAACTATCATAAAAGATTTAGTTATCCCAGGAAGCAAATTTTGGGGATGTTTATAAGCAACAATGAGAGTGATTATGAAAATAGTAGCATTTTTCCTTACTGGAGCAATGAACCTTGTCCCTCGACGTGGTAATCCTCAGGAGAAGCAACAGCTAGGTCTGCAAAGCATGAGAAATCAGCATACAGAGTATACAGAAGGTTACCCATGCCCACAGGCTGCCTCAGTTGCCTATTTATCACAAAGTAGGGTATTTTGTGGAAATTTAGTGGCTATTTTTGTTGACTTGTGGCCATGTTGACAAAGTTGCACCGGCCTAGTGGTGCTACAAAGTAGCTTCTGCATGCTTGTTGTTTTTTTCCTGGTGCATTCTCCCCTGGTTGGAGAAAACTCGTCCTCTAGTTTGAGTTCAATGCTCATGATCCTCATAGTAAGGAGATAAGTCAGCAATATTAAAAGTAGCAGAGACTCCATAGTCACTTGGAAGTCTAGTCTTGTAGGCACAACCATGATAGAATCCTTGCTTCGTTGGGTTCACGGTAATCCATGAGGGGTCTCATCAGGAACAACATTAGAAAATTCTTCAAGGAGAGATCGAATTTCCTCTGGAAAAGGGGAAGTGGCATCATTCACTTTAGATAATAGCAAGAGATAAGCTGTCCTCGATTCTTGATGCAACTTCTGAAAGGTTGATCTGGAGATTAAAGCTTTGTCCTCATCCTTGGTTATGGTATCATGAGGACTTCGATGCACAACCAAAGATTCTCCATGGTCAGCTGCGATGAGTTCTTCCTCAAGTTGTGGCTTAATCTCATCACTAATCTCCTTTTTTGCTTCACCATCTAAGACTTCATGAATCTCTCCTCCGATAATGGTGATAATTCTCCTATTGGGACAGTCTAAGCCAATGTGGCCAAATCCTTGACACTTGAAACACTTTCGAGTGTTAGGCTGGGCTGGACGGCTTGAACTAACTTCCTTCTCAACTTTGGCAGGTGTTTCAGCAACAATCTTTGAGACTTGGGTCCCTTGGCTAGCTTCAAAATCTCGTGGTTTTGAAGCAATAGTAATATTCTTCTTTGAGATTTGCTTTTTAACCCTCAATGCTAGCCGAATGACATCATCCAAAGTCCAATATTGTTGAAGTTGAACTACTTTGGAAATGTCATTGTCTAATCCTCCAAGATATCTTGCTATGGTTTGCTCTTCTTTTTCTCGAACATCACACTTCATCATTAATTGTTTGAACTCCATAGTATATTCTTCCATAGTCAAAGATTTTTGCTGCAAGTTATGAAATTTAACAAAATTATCTTGGTAGTAACAGTCAGGTAAGAACTTACGAGTGAGTTCCCGACGCATTTTCTCCCAAGTTCTCTGAAATTAGTTTAAGCATAAATCATACTGCCAATTTCATCCCCCTTGTTAACAAAAGTGTGAGTACGATCCTTCACAAGGAGATTTTTATCTACACCAACCTGGGACAGAGTAGAGATCCAAGAAAATTTTGTCAAAGACCAGGTAAACAATGCAAAATAAAATCTAAAAAAATTAAGATTTTGACTTGAAAAATGAAAATCAATACATGACTTCCAGAGAAAATGAACCAAAGGTAGGTAGAGAACACCAGCATCTCACAACTGACATATTGGTT